ACCAACTTCCAAGGGAAGTGGTGCTGGCCCCTACCCTGGGGGTCTTTAAGAAGAGGCTGGATGCCTACCTGGCTGGACTCATTTGAGTCCCGTTTCTTGTTTTGGGGTTTTGTTGTTCTCCCGCCCTGGCGGGGGTCGGGCTAGAAGATCTACTAGGTCCCTTCCGACCCTAAATCTATGAAACTATGAAACTATAAAGTCGTGGGAAATAGCCCAGGTACCAGAGGACTGGAAAAGGGCCAATGTAGTGCCCTTCTTTAAAGAAAGGCAAGAAGGAGGACCTGGGGAACTGCAGACTGGTTAGCTTCATATCAGCACTTGAAAAGTTACTGGAACATATCCTAAGGGAGATGTGGTATCTTTTTTAGACCAACTAAACAGAGGCGGATTAAGGTGTGCTGGGGTCCTGGACAAACGCAAAATTGGAGGCTCCCTACTCCCACGGGAGCTGGGCTGCAAGGAGGGAGGGGCCCCTTCCCATCCTGGTGCTGCTGGGGGGTCCCTGCCCTGGTGGGGGAGGGGGGGCACATGCCCACCTCTTCTCCTTGCTCCCTGCACCACCTCCCCAGCTATGGCCACGCTCACACTCACATTCTCTCCTCTCACTCACTGTCTGCACATGGACACAGACACAAACATACTCTCCCTGCCATGAACACACACACGCACAGACACACGCATACACCCACACATGCACGGACACATGCATGCAGACAGGCACACACTCTACTCACTCTCTGTACATGGACACAGATAAGCACATTCTCCCTGCCATGAGCGCACACATGCGCATGTACGCACAGACATGTGCACGCACACACATGTGCACACATATAAATACACACACACAGATGCGCGCACACACAGACGTGTCCTTGCATACACAGATGCAGACACACATGCTGATGTCTGTATGCATGCGTGTGCACACACAGATGCACACCCAGCCACACACATTCCTTTCACAGGACCTCCCCTCTCCCCCAATCACTCAGAAGCAGCCCCCCCCA